AAGGTCGTGTTAGTACTGTGCAATATTTATTATCATTACCGCAGATTAAGGTCGATACTAAGGACAGGTGGGGTAGGAAACCCATTGATGATGCAGAAACAAATCTAGGACGTATGTGGGGGCGAGATGGTGATAGAATGAAAGAGTTGGAAGAGATTGTAAGAATGTAATAAAGTTATAAAGAAAATAACATACGAATATTTATTCCAACTGTAGCCAATGGTGACAAATTTGGAGAGTCAAATGCATTAAATTCTACAGCGTTCATTTTGACGGCTCTGTTACCACGAAATAGTTTGTTGTTGAAGAATAAACAAACCTCGGGGATTACGTAATGACCGGCAATCGTAAGTGCACCGAGTAAATTCTCGACAGCATCATTTCGAACTTCAGATATCGGAACCTACGTTCAGCGAATTCCAAAATAGCGTCTTTTAAATCAAATATCTTGGATGAATAATTTTGATCTGTACACCGACATGTTCATATTCATAATTTAATCGTGATTGCTTGTCATATGTAGGAAATGTTTTTCACATACCTGAGAACCAGTCAAAATTACAGTCTTTCTGTACAAACCGATGGTAATAAAACATTAAATTATTAAATCTTTAATTTTAAATATTCAATATATACATCGGAATTTTAAAAAACCAAGATACCCCAAATTCTCCAATAGAAAACTAAGTGCACTAGCAGTATAAGCCATAGTATCAGTTCCTATACTCGTATATATTAAAGTATTTAAAAAACTATTTAACATTAAAGAGTAAAGAAAAAAATAAAATAAAATAAAAATAAGAATTATCATACCGTGTAAAATTATAAAAGCATCAAATGATTGATAATTTAGTTCAATATCAGTAGCAATTCTAACCCAGTCTTTAAATAAATTAGAGATAAATTATTAAGAAAATTTTAAAAATAATTTATTATAACAAAATCTCGAAATATATATTTACCATCACTTATCATATTACATGAATCCAATAATGGTTCATATTCAACTATGGAATATCTAATATATTTGTCAATTATTAGATTATTTGATAGCTATTAAAAGCAAACAAAACAAACACTTTGATCCGTTACTTTATCCTCTTTCCTTGAAAAGAAGGTGGAGTCACTAAAACTCTACCCGTAATACATAATATTCCTGACTCTTCAATACCCCAATAATCTTTAATAAAAATTTTGGTAGAATTCTGAGATTCTTCATCCTCATTGTTCAGATCATACTGTTTCAGAGTCTTATCAAAG